CAGGGTTCTCCCCCTCGGCACTATTGACATTCTGGGCTGGATAATTCTCTGTTGTGGGGGCTGCCCTGTGCATTATAGAATTGATGCAGCATCCCTGGCCTCTACTCACTAGATGCTGGTGATAGCAACTCTGCATTCTCCAGGTTGTGTCCATTAAAAACGTCTCCAGGCATTGCTGGGAGACAAAACTGGCCCTGATGGAGAATCACTGGGTCACCAGGGAAATCGAGGGGACCACATCGTGGTCAGGCATGGAGGGAGGAGAGAGCACGGTCCATTCCAACACCCTCAAGTGGATCAAAAGTAAGTGGAACTTGGTGTACCTGGAGGCTGGAAGGTAGCTGGGCCTGACCTTGAAAGTCTCATCTGCAAATCCCAAATGAACTACGTGGGTGCGGAGGCAGCAACAGGAAACAGCACTTTCAGATCAACTCGGAGGGTTCTTGCGTGGCCTTGCAGTGGGTGTCATTAATAATATGCACCATCTGGCAGCTTCCTATTTTAACTAATTAGTCTTGTTGAGTACACGCTAAGCTTTTAAAATCATTATTTTAAAACGCTGTGCACACTATAGTTCGGCGCCTTGGGGCAAAGCCCAGGTCTCTCAGTTTATGGTCGTGCTTTGAAGAGAGGGTTTCATGTGCATTCACCACTGAAGGGGCTAGTAGAAGATTGTTTGTTTGTTTGTTTGGTGTTATTGTTGTTTGCAGACAGGGTCTTGCTCTGTTTCTCAGGCTGGAGTGCAGTGACATGATCATAGCTCACTGCAGCCTCAAACTCCTGGGCTCAAACAATCCTCCTGCCTGAGCCTCCTGAGTGGCTGGGACTACAGGTGCATGCCACTGTGCCCAGATAGTTTTTTAGTTTTTGGTAGAGATGGGGTCTTGCTATGTTGGTCTTGAACTCGTGGTCTTAAGAGATCCTTCTGCCTTGGCCTCCCAAAGTGTTAGGATTACAGGCATGAGGCACCATGTCTGGCCAAGTAGAAGACTGTTTTAGCAAGACTGACCTGTTATGAAAACTCAGAGGGCACTGAGACTAGAGTCTGGGCAACCTGGGAGAAGGCAACAGAAATAATGAGGACTTGAGACTGAGACAACATGCGCCTGGGGTGGACAGGAGGGCAGGGCTGTGAGTCAATTAGAGGGCACAGCGGGCTGGGCTGGGACACAGGGCAGCAGGGAGGAGGAGTCTAGGATGAACCCAGGTTGTCTGTGTGGGCCTCTCCCTTTGGTAGGTGCATAGCAATGGGAGATAGGAGGGTAGCCAAAGCAGGCACAGCGGAGAGAAAAAAGATGGTAAGTTAGAGTCTTTAGTTGGGATGGAGGGAAGTTACTTCACAGAGCACTGGAGACTGGCGTTGAGGAGAAAGGGCCAGACTGGAGATAAAGATTTGTGAGTCATCCTGTCGAGGTAGTAGTTGAAGCTGTGGGTGAGATTGCCCAGGGGGAGTGTGGAGAAAGACAGTCAGGAGGCTAGGATGCAGTTGGGAGAGTAACAGCTGTTTTCCATTCTGATTCAAAGCCTCTTTAGTAAGTTCTTTGTCTCACTATCCGTTTCCAAACCCACAGCCCACAATGATGACTCTGTCTTCTTTATTATTTTTTTGATTAAAAAGATTTTTTATTTCTTTTAGAGAGATGGAGTCTCTCCATGTCCTGGGCTCAAGTGATCTTCCCATCTTGGCCTCCCAAAGTGCCAGGATTGCAAGTGACAGCCACTGCTCCTGGCCTGCCTTGTCTTCTGTGCAACCACCCAACCCGCTTTTAAAATTCTAAGCTGCTCGCTTTCCACCTAAACAATGACCATACCGGAGAGGCCTTGGGTCCAACAACTCTGGACTTCTGTTACCTTTTCTGTTTTGCTCTTGTCTTCTGAACTCCCCTGGAAGCTCACAAAGGCTTGGGTTGCATTTTTGTATCCTGTACTCCCTTACCCCAAGTCAGCTACACCTAGTAACAGTCTCCCCTTTGGATGTTTTGATGGCCCATGCTACAGGATCCTTAAAGATTCTAGGTCTGGTTGAACATTTTGGCTAGACCACAAAGTTCAGGTGCCCTTGGAAGAGCCCTATACCTGTGTCCCCAGTGCCAGGAACTGGAGCTCAGGGGTGACTCTGAACATCAACATTTCCTGGGTCTGCTTGGTGAATCCCAAACCCTGATTCCAAGAGCAGCCCGAAAGCAGAACAAGCTCCTTGACTTTACCTCTGAAAACACTATTTGGAAGATGGGTGGTTTATTTCACTAAAAATAAGCTAGATGTTGAAGCAGTGTGTTGGAAAATAAAACACCAAGCTCATTGTTTAGTTTGGAAAAAAATGTTAAAATTCTGTTAATGCAGTTGTCATTGGTGATCAGTACAGAAAGACTGGTTAGAGGCCTTCGTGAGGGAGGCTGCTGGAAGAACAGCTCAGAGGTGTTGTAAAATGTTTTCGCTCATGCTGGGGTTGTCTGCCAGGAAAGGTGCAGCTTATTGCCAGGGATGTTTTTACCAGGCCGCTTCTGAACTTTAACCCACTGTTGAAACCAGGGTCATGCGAGGGAGCCACAGCCTCTGGGCCCCCAGCACAGCTAACCCAGACTGCAGGGCTGATGTCAGCCACGTGATGTGACCCGCAACTGGGGCATGGGCTGGCGGGGATGCTGCAGTCCTGTGGGTTAGTTCTGGTGCCTAAGTCAGGGTGTCACAGCGATGAGAAAGGGTGATGCCAGGGAGAAGCCATTGTAGTCTAGAGAGAGCTCGGCTTCTCCACCTGTGGCTTTCCTGTGCTCCAGGGGGACATGTAGACATCGTTTGGAACAGAAAGTGGGCTGAGCAGCCACACCATTTGTTTCCCCATCCATCTGTATATTCCGAGGTTGCGTGCTCTTCATTTGTTGCCCAGAGTGCTGGGCCCTGGATGATTTCGCTTCTTGCCCAAGTGCCGGTTTAATAACGGTGTGAATCAGAGGGGCGACGAGCCAGCGCCCACAGCGCAGAGCATCCAGGCATGTTGCAGCGGCGCAGAGGCGATGTGAGTTCCAGCTCCCGAAAGCTGGGGCTTATTTCAGGGCTGTGGCCGAGGGCTGGATTGACTGTGGCTGGTGCCTGGCACCCTCCCTTCTGCCCAGGGGTGGTTCCCACTTTCCTCCCTGAACTGCCCTGAGCCGATTTCACCTTCCTCCAGTACTCCTTGCTCAGGGCTGGGAGTGACTTTCTTTGAACTCACTGAAGTTTCTAACACTCTTGGGAACATCAGAGTAGAGAAGATGGCCGCACACATGCCAACATACCCATGCCTGTCTCAGCATCGCCCAGTCTCTTAGATTTAAAGGCATCTGCGAGAAGCAGGGCAAGCTTCCATTCAGGATAATGAGATTTAAGTTTGTTGGTCCTATTCTCTCTCCTGTTTGTGATTGCACGTCACGTTTTCATTTGGTTTTGATGGGAGGCACACAGGGGCAGGAAGAAGGGAGCCCAGTTTCCCCATCCTCACCTAGAGATCTTTCAACCTGAAAGCCCCAGATGCTGTTTGGACAGAGGGTGAAGGTGGAGCGAGGGGCAGATTGACCTGGGGCCTTGGCCTTTGGAATCCTCAGGCTCTCTTTGGAGGTCCTGAGCATCCTGCAGGGTAGCATCAAGCTCTTCCTCGTTTGTGCCAGCGTGCTTTTTGTAAATCTTCATGCCACAGCATCCCAACCGCCCCTTGCGTGTTAGTTGGTGTGATTGGGTAAAAGCGGATCAATCCTTTAGAGATGTAAAAGGCAGAGGGGACAGTGGGAAACTATCTCATGGAAACTTTGTGAAGCTGGTCAGAATTCCTTCTCCCTCCATTGTTAACAGCCCCTCCAGGCTCCCTCCTCCAGTGGAGACACTGAAAACAGCGGCTTCCCCTTCCTTGCCCTAATCAGGGGTCTCCTCCTGTTGGCCCGTAGGACACAGGAGGCGCCTGCTGGCTGCTGCTGGGAGCTGTGGAAACATGTGGCTGCCACGTAGGCTGTGAGTCAGCATCCCACCTTCCACAGGGGCCGCGGGAACCTGAAGGTGCTCAGTGCCCCGTTAATATTAACCATCCCAGGCAGGCCCAGGGCAAATCCAGGAAGAGAGGCGTGGCAGCCTCAGGGCAGGGCCGTGGGTGGAGACGCCAGTAGCCAGGTGTCCTCTTGGCTCTTCAAGTCACCTGGCTTATTCCCTCCTTAAAATGCATTTTCTCTTTCCCTATTTGGGTGAACTGCTGCTGGCAGGGCCGTGGAAGGGAGGGGCTGGAGATTAGAGAGGCTTTGGAGTCAGAGCCGAGTTAGGGTTATGGTCCACTGTAAGATCTTGGAAAAGATATTCTCTTTTGTGTTTTTGAGACAGAGTCTCACTCTGTCGCCCAAGCTGGAGTGCAGAGGTGTGATCTCTGCTCACTGCAGTCGCTGCCTCCGGGTTTCAAGCGATTCTCCTGCCTCAGCCTCCCAAGTAGCTGGGATTACAGGTGCCCACCACTATGCCCCGCTAATTTTTGTATTTTTGGTAGAGACAGGGTTTCTCTATGTTGTCCAGGCTGGTCTTGAACTCCTGGCCTCTAGTGATCCACCTGTCTCGGCCTCCCAAAGCGCTGGGATTACAGGTGTGAGCCACCACGCACCTGGCTGTACAAGTTACTCTCTAAGCCTTCGTTTCCTTATTTTGAGGAACGGTCATCATGATGAGTACATTTTAGGCTTATGAGGGTTCCCTGAGATAAAATGAGCACCGGTTGGTGTGAGAAGCAGTGATGATCTTTCTTTTTTCTGAATGGCTGTTTCTCTTGTCTCTTCCCCCAAGATCTGCCTTTCCTGCCCTTTCGACTAATAAGGGAAGAACTTCTCGAACAATTCTGCTGAGTAACCTGGAGGTGGGACTTTATGCATCGTAATGACAAGGGCTTCTGCTTCCCTGGGCGTGGTAGTTAGTGGAGAAGGGGAGGGTGCCCTGAGGGAGGGAGGACTCTGCAGAGGGATGGGCAGCCAAGAGTTGATTCACCTGTACAGGGAATCTCCTTGGTGATCCTGAATCCATTTGTGAGTCCAGGATGTCTTGGTGGTGGAATGACATCAGGCCTGTGAAATAGGGAAAGGTGAGTTCAGCACGTTTGTGAGGGGGCACTCCAGCCTTGGGGATTTGGGCGAAGGGGACACGCAGTCAGGCTGTGCTGTATTCACCTCCTGTCCTTGGAGCCTTATCACCCACTAGATAACCAGCCGCTTGCCCAGATGACTCACGAGGGTGCTTTAACTTCTGGGATTGTTCAGGGCCAGCTCCTTGGACATGGAGGAAAACAAGCAAATATAGGAAGATTTGTTTGTTTATTCGAAAAATATTTACTGTGCACCTATTACGTGATGGCCCCTTTCTAAGTCACAGAAGGTGCAGAGCCCTGAGCCACATGGACAAGGTCCCAGCTTTCATGCAGCTGAAATCCTCCAGTGAAGGAGGACAAGAAATAAGACATTTAAATAAACAAACAAGACAATCTCAGCTTGCAGTAAGTGCTGTGATAAGGAACTAGGCAGTTGCTCTCAAATTTGAGTGTGTATCAGAATTCCCTAGAACCCTTGATAAAACACTGATGGCCGGCCTCACCCCAGTATTTCTGATTCAGTGTGTCGGTGTGGGGCCTGAGAATCTGCATTTCTCACAAGTTCTTAGATGATGCTGATGCTGCTGGTCCTTGGACCACCTTTGAGAACCACAGACTTGGGTAATGGCGTCAAGGGGTTGGGTGGGGTGGCACCTAGTTTCAAAACAGCTCAGAAAGATAAAGTCAAGGGCCTGTGGACTGTGTTCCTTTTTAGTTTAGGAGGCAGAAGGGATGGAGGTACTGTGTTTTTTGTAGTTCTTTGTAGTTCTTTTGTGGAAAGGACAGCTGCAAACAAAACGAAAACCTCTGTCTCACTTCTCACTCTATGTTTATTCCTATTCAGATCAGCTTCTGAGGCCGGGAGTGGTAGCTCATGCCTGTAATCCTAGCAGTCTGAGAGGCTGAGGCAGGAGAATCTCTTGAGGCCAAGAGTTTAAGATCAGACTGGGCAACATAGGGAGATCCTGTCTCTGCAAACAATAAAAACAAATGAGCTGGGCATGGTGGCACGCACATGTGGTCCCAGTTACTCGGGAGGCTGAGGCAGGAGGACTGCTTGAGTCTATGAATTGGAGGCTCACCACTGCACTTCAGCCAGGTGACAGAGCGAGACCCTTTCTCCAAGAAAACAAAACAAAACAAAACAAAACAGAACAAAACAGAAAAAATCCTGAAACAGCTGAATTTCTGGAACCTCATTTCTCTGGGGATTCTGAAGCCAGCAGGCACGACGCTTGCTTGTAATACAGAGTATTCTCATCTATTTGTTGGTTCTCACAAAGCAGGAGTTTAAAGGCCAGATCTGGGTCTAAACATTTCAGAGACACCACTGATAGCACAGAGAAGGACATTCTCGTTCTACTGAGAATCAGCTTCAGGGCTCATGTTGGGTAGCTGTGTTTTTATAAGTCTGTCTATATGTGAAATAAGATAAGAAATCATTATGGATTAATAGATGACAATTTATCTGAAGGCAGAGGGCATAAGTTTATCTTTCTATCCTGTGTCCAGCAGCAGGCCTGCTATAATGGTAAACCATAGATGTTTGTTAATTTCATGTATTCACTTGCTCATTTATCCACAACCAGCTGCTATGCAGGGTGCTAGAAATACAGTGGCTAAGAAGACAGACCCAGCTCCCGCCCTCGTGGAGTTTATAGTTTAAATAGAGAAGGCAGACAAGTTACCAGGTAATTACATGTGGAGGGTCATTTTGTGTCCTATGATAGGAGACATACAGGGTGATACAGAAACACATAACAGAGAGAGGCCAGGAGGGCTTCCTGGAAGAAGTGACCTCTAAGATGGGAAGAAGCTGGGTGGGTAAGGAGTAGTGTAGACGAGGATACCAAGAAGACAGTTTTCTGGATAGAGACACGAATGTGACCCAGAGGTGAGAGAGAGCACAGAACATTCCCTGGCTAGTATTAGTTCAAGATGCCTGGGGCCAAGAACTGAGATAGGAACCTGAAGGGCCTTGTAGGAATGAATGAGCAACAATACATTTTAAGGGACGTTGAGAAAATGTCTTAAGATTTTGCTGGTTGGTTGCTGTTTACACTGAGAGTAAAGGTTCTGACTTATGTCCAGAATGGGAATTAATCTCACACCCAGGTTGAGGAAACTTGCTAGGGTGATGATTGGATTCTGTTTTGAGTTGGCTCTGTTTGCAGGTCCTGGTTCCCAGAGTTGCCCTTCCTCCCACCTGTTGAGCGAGGACGTCTGGGCAAACCAGTTTTGATAGAGGAAGAGGCTTGTTGAACTCTTCGCCATCAAAGAGTATTCTTGGAACCGAAGTGACAACTTTATTACAATGTGGTTTGGGGAAACAGCGTGTCCAAAATGGTTGTTGAAAGGTTCAGATATAATTTTTGTGATGCTGGCCCCTAAGAGGCACAGATAGTTTGCTGTGTGCTCTGCAGGCCTGGCATCAAGGCCCTGACTAATGGCTCTGTGACCTTAGGCAGGTCAGTTAGGTAGGTTTTGGCATCTCACTTTTTATACTTACAAAGTGGGGACAGTCTAGGAACATCCTGAGAATGTTATGTACAGAAATGAGATGGTGTCTATAAAAACACTAGGCTACTGGAGGAAATGTTCAAACCTCCAGGATGTTGATTGTTAAAGGCATTTAGTCATTGGCGTGGCAATGGCCAGGACTCTGTGTGTGTGTATTCAATGATTAGCTATTTAGCCTAGAATCTGTGTCTAGTTTATTTCCATAAAAATACATTGTACTTGCTTTTCGATAGACTGTCTTCTCTTTTGTTTATATAGAGAATAGGATGTTCGGAAACTTCAGAGTAATGAAATTTCTCAAACAAGAGTGGGTCCAATACAACTTTTTCTTCTTTTAGTTATTTATTTATTTATTTTTTGAGACTGAGTCTCGCTCTGTCTCGCAGGCTGGAGTACAGTGGCGCTATCTCGGCTCACTGCAAGCCCCGCCTCCCGGGTTCACGCCATTCTCCTGCCTCAGCCTTCCGAGTAGCTGGGACTACAGGCGCCCGCCACTGCACCCAGCCAATTCCTTGCAGTTTTAGTAGAGACGGGGTTTCACTGTGTTAACCAGGATGGTCTCGATCTCCTGACCTTGTGATCCGCCCGCCTCGGCCTCCCAAAGTGCTGGGATTACAGGCGTGAGCCACCACGCCTGGCCTTAGTTAATTTTTAATGTACTTGGGAAGGCTGCACATTTTTAAGTAAAAGTTTGTGCTGTGTATGAGAAGTGTCCATCATCTTGAAAACTCTTTGAACCCTTCATCCTCCTTTTTTTTTTTTTTTGAGATAAACTCTTGCTCTGTCACCCAGGCTGGGGTGCAGTGGCGTGATCTCGGCTCACTGCAACCTCCACCTCCTGGGTTCAAGCGATTCTCCTGTCTCAGCCTCTGGAGTAGCTGGAATTACAGGCATGCACCACCACACCTGACTAATTTTTGTATTTTTTAGGAGAGATGGGGTTTCACCATGTTGTCCAGGCTGGTCTCGAACTCCTTACCTCAGGTGATCCTCCCGCCTTGGCGCTTGTGAGCCACTGCGCCCGGCCTCATATTCCATTTTGAAATGCATGTTCTTATAAGGAGTGAGGTTCTCTTACACCCCCTGTGCTTTCTTCACTGGGCAGTGTCCCTTTTGAGGAGTGCGGGTCTTGTTTCAACTTGAAGAAGACAGAATTGCTTCCTCTGTCTTGATGAGCTTGTTCTCGGCTAGGCTTCCTCATACTACAGCTGGTCTGAATTTTTTTCCCCTTCTATGGTGGCTTTTTTGACCCCAAGAAATACTGAAATTCAGACTGAAGTTACCTGTAGCGGAGATACCTGGACTTTTCCGATTATTTGGGATGTTTCTCAGGCTGACTCGCATGTGTGCCTTGCAGCCATGAAAGATACTCCCAGCTCAGAGAGACAACCTCGTCACAGGGTTTCTCTTTGTGCATGCCTGATTTCCTTCCGACTTCTCACTACCGTTTTGAAGAGCGGCACAGAAGGTAGAGGAACAAAGTTCCACTTTCCAATGTGATCTCTGTGCCCAGTGCAAGACAGATGGAAGCTACTGATTCTAAGTGGCAGCCGCCACATGCAAATTATAGTTCTTGGCTGAGAGGAGAGTTAACCTTAACTGTTTGTTTGTTTATTTATTTATTTATTTATTTATTTATTTTTAATCCTGAAGTCCAGTGAGCAGATTCCTAAGGGAAGGCTAAATGCCTTCAATCTATGTTTGGATGAAGCATATTCAACCAGCTCTTCTGTAGAAAGGCCTTTCGTTTGTATTTGATGTTCTAAAAGTGCACACAGTGGTGCAACATATATGAATATTCTGCAGTATAGGTTTACAGATTCAGATGAAAGGGTACCGAAACTTTTACATGTTTGTGGACAATGTGAAATTGTCCCTAAGGAGTCTGTGCTGAGTTTCACTCCTGTTTCCCCCCATCATTGCCAACGGTTGACATTGTCATTCCTTTACATTTTTACCAATTCAATGGAGAAAAAATGGCATCTTATTTTAATTTTAATTTTTCTGATTGCTAGTGAGGTTAAGCATCTTTTGATATATTTATCAGCCATTTCTGTTTTTTCTCTGCAATGTATATATTTACTATTTGTATTTTAAAAACTGGCTTATTTAATCTTTAATATGTACTGATTGTAATTATTCATTATCTTATTTTTTGCAGCGTAGACTTGACTCCTGTGAACTATGCTTTGGAAGTAAATGATGAAGGAAGAATAAAGAATAATGCAGTAAGGAAGATCATAGCATTTTGGAGCAGAAAGAAGGTTGTGGAGACAATTTTGTGCAAGTGCCTTATTTTATGGATGAGAAACTAAGGCTTTGAGAGGCATAGCTGGCTAGTAGCAGTTCTGAAAATTGGTTCTAGGGCAGGCATTTTTTTCTCTGCCTGCTGTTCCTCATGTTTATGAGGAGTGTCATTGGTTCTTCTTTGCTGGGTACTGTGTCTTCTTCATCGTTTAACAGCTAGCAACGTACATCTGTCTGCAAGGGGAAGAGGGAAGCTTTCCCAGCCACGTGGGAATGGCCCTCGAGGTCTGTTACCGGGCATAAAGTGAAGCACCGTTTCTTAGACATATTAAGTCAGTGAAAATGAGTAGGTTTGGCAGGAAAAGAGGCATCATATGTTGATGAAAGAAAGAGATTCTCCCTTTTTTTTTTTTTTTTTTTGAGATGGAGTCTTGCTCTGTGACCCAGAGCTGGAGTGCGGTGGTGCAATCTCAGCTTACTGCAGCCTACACCTTCTGAGTTCAAGTGATTCCCCTGCCTCAGCACCCCAGTAGCTGGGATTATAGGCGCCCGCCACCATGCCTGGCTAATTTTTGTATTTTTAGTAGAGACGGGTTTTACCATGTTGGCCACACTGGTCTCAAACTCCTGACCTCAAGTGATCCACCCTCCTTGGCCTCCCAAAGTGCTGGAATTACAGATGTGAGCCACCGCACCTGGCTGGGATTCGTATTTTTAAAAAGGGGAGGGGGCTGTTAATTGTCTCACTGCTCACTTGTGAAGCTTACAGCAGCTGTACATTTTCTGTTTTCCAATCCTTTCAGAAATGGCAGCAAAGTATCAGTAGCGATCATCTAATTCAGAAATCCCTTCTTTTTTTTTTTTTGAGTCGGAGTTTCATTCTTGTTGCCCAGGCTGGAGTGCAATGGTGTGATCTTGGCTCACCGCAATGTTCGCCTCCAGGTTCAAGCGATTCTCCTGCCTCAGCCTCCTGAGAAGCTGGGATTACAGGCATGCACCACCACGCCTGACTTATTTTGCATTTTTAATAGAGACGAGGTTTCTCCATGTTGGTCAGGCTGGTCTTGAACTCCTGACCTCAGGCGATCCACCTGTCTCGACCTCCCAAAGTGCTGGGATTATAGGCATGAGCCACCGTGCCCGGCCCAGAAATCTCTTTTTATCATACTTTAAAAAAACACTCCACGTGATCTAAGGATGTGCTTTCAGATATGCAAAGTATTTGGCTTGCAAAGAAGATTGAGTGTGAACCTTTGAGAGGAAAAATTATGGGATGTGAATCCGTTGGTCAGATTAAAACAAAATTGTGTGTGGTGTATGTGTGGGTGTGTGTAAAAGGAATTTAAAAAAAAAGCAGAAATGGCGGGGTGAAGAGGCCGTCTGCAAGTCAGGTTAGAGACCAAAGCAGAGGAGTGCCCAGGTTCAGGAGCTGAGCACACGGATAACGTGCTTTCTCAGAGCTGGAAGCAAAGGCTGGCCTGTTAAAGGCAGAGATGCCAGCGATGTTTCTCTGCTGCGCACAGGGTGGGAAGCAGAGGTGCATGAGTTATCTTGGTGCTCACACAATATTGGAAGGAAGGGAGGTGAGATGGGAGAGGACAGGAATGTCCCTGGTCCTGTCAGCTGTACTGACCAGTGTGACCTGAGGCTGAGCTTCCCACACACAGTGAACAGGAATTTGGAAAAATGGAAGAGAGTGATTATCTAAGTTGTGTCTGCAGTGCTGGGGCTGGAGATTTTCTTGAATTCTTAGCAGTTTCCAGACCCACAATCTAATTTCCTTAAATCATGTGGCCAACTAGAACTATTCCAGAATAATGTGTTTTACTGCGAGTGACCAACCATCCCCGTCTGCCAGAGACACAGGTTTCCTGGGATGTGGGACTTTTGAGGTGAAAACCAGGACAGTCCCAGGCAAACTAGGATGGTTGGTCATCTTGTTTGGATAACTAAGATAATTTCAATAACCAAAATTAAAATCATCCAACATAAGTGTCAGAGCTAAAAGCGAAACTCATACAGAAGAAAACTGTCCCTTCATCTTCTCTACACAGCCTTAGTATTATTATTTCTTAATTTGCCAGCTGATGGGACACACTGAGCCTTTTGGTGGACTATCGCTTGAGCCCAGGAGCCTGAGGCAACGTTGTACATTAGAACTACTTGGAGAGTTAAAAGAAAAAAAAAAAAGTGGACAACCAGGCCCTCTTCTCCACCAAGTAAACCACAATTCCCAAGGAAAGCAATATTCCCAAGCAGGGGATTCTTAAAAACAGCAGAGGAGATTGGACCATGTAGACTGGTTGAGAGGTACTGGTGCAAGCAGGAAAGGATCCCAGAAGTTAACATCTAACAAATTAAATCAGGGTAGCCACACAGCCTGGCTTAGGCCTGTTGTTCTGACATATTGCTTTTTTTAATAATTTTTTTTTTTTCGAGAGATGGGATCTTACTTTGTTGCCCAGGCTGGTCTTGAACTTCTGGGCTCAAGCAATCCTCCCACCTCAGCATCCCCAAGTGCTGAGATTGCAGGCATGAGCCACCATGCCCATCCTGACATATTTCTTAATAGCACTTGTTTTTATTCTTAGAACTCTCCAAATTTGGCTACTATATTATATGATTATCCAACACATAAGACTCCCTGAGAATGGCAGGGTGTGATGGCTCACACCTGTAGTCTCAGCCCTTTGGGAAGTGGGAGGATCGCTTGAGCCCAGGAGTTTGAGACCAGCCTGGGCAACACCCCATTACTACAAAATAAATAAATAAATAAATAAATAAATAAATAAATTAGCGGGGCACGGTGGTGCCTGTCTCTGGTCCCAGCTACTCAGGAGGCTGAGGGGGGAGGATCACTTGAGTCTGAGAAATCAAGGCTGCAGTGAGCTGTGATTGAGCCATTGCACTCCAGCCTGGGCAACAGAGCAAGACACTGTCTCAGAAAAAGAGTAATTATAAAAAGACTCTCTTAGAAAAATTTTTTTCTTTCCTGTGTTTATTTTTTGCCTTCATTTCATGGTGATGGGAATAATAAAATTTTTTTTCTTAAATAAAAACAACCCACAAGCTTGAAATATAACTTACAGTAGAGCACACAAATCTTAAGTGTGTAGTTGATCAAATTTAACATACATGTTTTTCAAGTAACCACAAGGTATAAAACATTTCCAGCATCCCCCAAAACCCTCATGCCTCTTTCCGTTAAGTAGCCCTTCCTTCCTATAACACACTAATTTTGGCTTCGTATGAACAGAATCAGATAACATGTAGTCTTTTGTCTCCAGCTTCCATCACTCAACATTTTGTCTGTGAAATTCATCTTTGTAGCAGCATGTGTGTGAAGTTTGATCTTTTTCATGGCTGTGTAGTATTCCATCACACAATTATACCATGCCTTATTTACCCATCTGTTGGGGATAGACATTTGGGTGTTTCCATTTTTGGCAATTAGGAATATAGCAACTATAAACATTCTTATAAAGAGTCTTCTGTTGCACACATGTATGAGATTTTCTTGGGTCTCTAGCCCTTAGAAATTGTGAGCTCGCTGGTTGTTTACCATCCACAGTCAGGCACTTTGGCTGGATGCCCTCAAGCTGTGGAAGGTCAGGTGGGCCTGGAAAAACCTGCTTTTGGCTTTAAGTGCTGGAGAAAATCAGCATTCCATTCAGTGATCATTGGAGGGTCTGAGGATGTCCAAGAGATTCCAGGTAGAGGATGGGTGGATTCCAGTCAACGTAGTAATTGTGGAGGGAGTGTCTTGGAGGGGTTTGAGGCAATGCTTCAGAATCACTGGCAGGTGTATTTGCAACCTTTTATTATGGGAAATTGCAAATGTACATAAAATAGTGTAGTGGAGGGAACAGCATAATACATCTTTATGTACCCATCGCAGCTTCGACAGTTGCCAAACATAAACAGTTTTTTTTTCACCTCCACCTCCTTTCCCCCACCCCCTGATTATTTCTGAAGCAAATTTCAGGCATCCTATCATTTTATCCATAATGATTTCAGTACTTATCTCTCAAAGATAAAGACTCAAAAAAGCCTACAAAGCAATTTCATTACGATGCCTAAAAATCATTTGTAGCAATTCTTTATTTTTGCTAAATGTCCAGCCATTGTTTATATTTTTTCAGTTTTAAGATGCTGATTAATCGTTGTAAGACAGTTTGCTGGTTGGAATTGGGATCCAAATAAGGTTTCTATAGTGGGATTTGTCGATCTGTTCAAGTCTGAATCCATAGGAGCCTCTTCATCACCTTTTTCTTGCAGTTTTTCAGTTTTTGGCTGTTTTTGAAGGAACTAGGGCACTTTTCCCACAGACTCTCCCACAGCCTTACTTTTGCTGGTGATATTCTCAAGGTGTTACCATGTTGCTCTGTATTACCATGTTGCTCTGCCCCTGTATTTCCGTACCTTTAAGTTGATGGTGAGACTTGATCAGATCTGAGTTTGGTTTATTTTGACACTTGTCCCTCCCACCCAGAAGCAGTCTTGCCTGTCTGATGTTTACTCCCATCCCATGCCCTCTGGCTCACTTTGTTCAGCCCCTCTGGCCTGGAACATTCTAGGCCTGCTCCTTCTCTAGGGCGGTTGCATGGCTGTCTCCTCTATTTCCAGCCTCCTCAAGTCTTTGCTCAAGTTTTCTTTTCTGGGCGAGGCCCGTCATGGCCACCTACTGAACACCTGTAACCTCAGAGCAGCACTCCTGATCCTTGAACTGTGCCTGGCACATGATAAGTGCTCACTGTGTGCGCTCGGTGAGTTCCTAAAGGGAGGACTCTTCCTCCAGCTCTTAGTCGGCCTGTGATGACAATGACAATAACGGCAAGCATTTATTGAATTCCTCTTCTGTGCCAGACACGCTATGTGCTAAATGTTTCATTTATTTCATCATTGCAACAACATAGGGTAGGTCCTGTTATTATTACCTCCTTCTACAGAGAAGTGCAGTGGGTATGGAGATGTGCAGCCCAGAGCCTCCAGCAGTCAGCCCCTTCTATGAAGTGTACACGCTGGGCTGT